ATGTCCTTCCACTGACCGTAGTGCTGACCGTACCCTCGTAGCCCCTTAGTTTTTGGTGACAAGTTTTTCTTTCTGCATCTTAAGTAAGTCACATTGAATACAAAATATCCAATTTATTTTTTAAAGTAAAGTAAACCGATTGATACGTGATATTATATGAGCGTTTGTAGGCATACTGATTTTTTTTTTGAAAAAAAAAAAAAAAAAAACAACAAAAAAAAACAAAACAATGAGCTTTGAAAAAAAAAACAAAAAAAAACAAAACAAAAAAAAAAAAAAAAAAAAAAAAACAACCCACCCCTGATACACTGAAAAAATATATATTCTATATTTTCAGAAACAATTAACCGACATTTAAAGGCATTAAAAATTACCAATAGAAATGTTTTATATGAGAAACATGCACACATTTAGAAATCATATCAAGAGAATAATGATGTAAATAAACAAACATTTCTGGCTAAAATATTCCTCCGTTGGTTTAACTCGAATGTCGAAAATAGTGTGAAGATCACCAAGGTCCACTCGCCACCAAATATCATGCCCTGTGTCTTTTATAATGCAAGAACTTCTTTTACCATCTACGGCAACACGAACATCTTCATCTGATACATTAGCCACTATGATGTCTTTACTGAGCGCAACATTCACCAAACCCTCTGAAATATACATGTTTACATATTATTTTTACATGCACAAAAGGGAACAAAAACATTCTGGTAAAAAGCACAGGACACGGGAAATAAATATGCGATTGCTGTAACATTGTGACATAAAATACATTTTGCTATGAAAATATTTTGCAGGCATAACGGGGATAAAAAGAACAAGTGCCACATTTGAAAGTTATGTACCATTGGAACCGGAAATATTGTATATGATTATTATTCAAAACTTTTTTTGCAGACATAGCAATTTCTTCTTATTTTTCTTCTTAAGTTTGATTTTTAAAAAAAAGAGTCAAAATTCTCACAACAGGTAGTATATAAGCAGCTTTGACAGAATATATTCACATAGTCTATGGTTTAAAGGCCAATTATGCCTAAAAATACGTTTTTTTTTCTTCATATCTCAAAAGCTTTTTATTTTTGATGTCCTGTTTAAGTTAAAAAAATAAAATAAATAAAAATAATAAAAAAAGGCATTTATCTGAAACTTTTTTTGTTTTGATTCTGTTGCATTCTGGCAGTTAGTACAGATATAGTGATTTAGTATTTTGTAATTTTGTATGGAAGTCTAAATACTATTTTGTTCACATTTTGTTACTTTTATGACACATTATTTCACGCTATTTTCTTCAGGAATCAAACATGAAACATGCTCTTAAACCATTATTCAAACGTGAAGGAAAATAAAAAATCGTTTCTGAGGCATGATGCACCTTTAAGGATTAAAAATAATGATATTTTATCAATATCTAGCGAAACAAAGTTGATTAATAATTCATCGTAGGAGGAAGAGCTCTTTTGAAAAGACAAACCGGGTAGTTATACATGTGAAATATCTTGAAGTAATATATACGACAGTGTATAAGAAGTAATTTTTGTTCTGGAATTAATTTTTTGAAAACCAAACAAAACATTTAAGTATTCTTCTGTAGAACAAATTTGAAATGTCAGGATTTTTAAAAATCCCTGTCCGATTTATGTCGACTGGATTTACGAATTACTTATCTCCAAACATCTTTGCACCCGATCATTGTGGTTTTCTTATCAGTATCACTCAATTTCCCCTTTCAGCATCTTGTCAAAGTTGTCAAAAAAAAGCGTCTGGATTTATCGGAAGACCCCTTATATATAATCATTGGTTGCCCATTAGAAGAGTATTAGTCATTTTTAGATTTGGACACAGCGCAAATTCTAAATGTACATGAGGGATAATAAAACATAATGCAAATTCCTTCATGCTCACTAGCACCGGCTTAAGCAGTAATCAATATTTTAACACTTAAAGTTCTGGAATTTATGACATCAAAGGACCACAAAAATACTAGTACCACCTTTCATTGCTATACAAGGTCTAACTACCATCTTTATCTTCTATTGCCATAAAAGACACAATTCCCATCTTTCATTGCTAAGTATAATTACCATATTTATTTTCCATTGCAATAAAAGGCATAATTCTAATCTTTGCTATAAAAGGTACAGTAACCATCTGCCGTGTTGCTATTAAAGATATAATTACCATATGTCGTTGCTATTAAAGATATAATTACCATATGTCGTTGCTATTAAAGATATAATTACCATATGTCGTTGCTATTAAAGATATAATTACCATATGTCGTTGCTATTAAAGATATAATTACCATATGTCGTTGCTATTAAAGATATAATTACCATATGTCGTTGCTATTAAAGATATAATTACCATCTGTCATTGCTCTAAAAGGTATAATTACCATCTGTCGTTGCTATAAAGGTATAATTACCATCTGTCGTTGCTCTAAAAGGTACAATTATCATCTGTCGTTGTTATAAAAGATATAATTACCATCTGTCGTTGCTATAAAATGTATAATTACCATCTGTTGTTGCTATTAAAGATATAATTACCATCTGTCAATGCTATAAAAGTTATAATTACCATCTGTCATTGCTCTAAAAGGTATAATTACCATCTGTCGTTGCTATAAAGGTTTAATTACCATCTGTCGTTACTATAAATGGTATAATTACCATCTGTCGTTACTATAAAAGGTACAATTACCATCTGTCGTTGCTATAAAAGGTATAATTACCATCTGTCGTTGCTATAAAAGATATAATTACCATCTGTCGTTGCTATACAAGGTATAATTATCATCTGTAATTGCTATAAAAGGTATAATTACCATCTGTTCTAATGCTCATCAATCCAACTGAAGTTCTCATCAACACCAACATCACTGTAATTCAAATATAAGAAAAACAAAAATAAAATATATAAAAGTATAGTTTTATGGCTTGATGTTTGACATTTTTAATTATTTAAAAGGACATAAATTGTATTTTCTTTTTTTTTCTTTCTTTCTTTCTTTCTTTCTTTCTTTCTTTCTTTCTTTCTTTCTTTCTTTCTTTCTTTCTTTCTTTCTTTGTATTCTTAGTATTAGAGTTCAATCAACCAACAATTTAGAAAATATTTTGAGTTTGTTGCTGTTTGTACAATCGCTATCAGAGAGACTCATTTTCAGATTTCGATCATATTTCTGGGGCAGAAAATGAAATCTGAAAGGGTTTTCTCCAAATATATGCGCAACTTGTACGTAAGATACAACTTGGCACATTTCATTATGCGAGCCGTGTCACGAGAAAACCAACATAGTGCGTTTGCGACCAGCATGGATCCAGACCAGCCTGCGCATCCGCGCAGTCTGATCAGGATCCATGCTGTTCGCTATCAGTTTCTCAAATTGTTATAGGGTTTGTATGCGAACAGCATGGATCCTGATCAGACTGCGCGGATGCGCAGGCTGGTCTGGATCCATGCTGGTCGCAAACGCACTATGTTGGTTTTGTCGTGACGCGGCTCATATATCTGTAGCAAGCGACATTTTGTAGAGAATAGATTTATTGAATTATGTGGAATATTTCTAATTTCGTGATGAGAAATTCACTTTAACGATAAAAGAAAAATGTCATAATTTGCACGATTTCAATTACACTTTTCTTTTAGAAAGCGAAAAAGATAATAAATAAATAAAAGTAAAAATAAAAAATATAATCAAAAATCGAAAATATCAGTATCATGAATTTTTTTTTTATAAAATAATGTATCTACAATGCAGATATCAAAAGACAGATTTACATACTCTTAATAACTGTATATGAGCCGCGTCACAACAAAACCAAAGTAATGAAGAGAAACTGATAGCGAACAGCATGGATCATGATCAGACTGCGGGCTGGTCTGGATCCATGCTGGTCGCAAACGCACTTTGTTGGTTTTGTCGTGACGCGGCTCATATACATGTTTAGTTAAAGAAACAATTACCTGCTGTCAGACACAATGATACATGTTCGACCGCAGTCATGTTTTCGTCCGCCTTATTTCCCTCCCTTTTTATTTTCAATCCAAATACAATTGTCTCCAACTAAAGTTGACGAAAAACAGTTCTTCAATGAGTGTGCTGTTCCAAGCGTTTTGAAAGATTTTCGCTACTGGTCTTGTTACTTTAAAAAGACTAATTTCGTGGTATTTTCTGTTTTTGTTCCATAAATACTTTATAAGCTTTTAAACTCATATATTATTTTCTTTGTAATTTAGACATAAAAAGCAACTTTAAAGACTATTAATTTTTGTATTGTAAATAAGACGGTATATTTCCTGTAGGAAAATTATCATTTTAAACAAGACTAATTAGTAAAATAGTCATAATGGAAACATCAAAGGTCGTCATGTGCGGCTTAAATTTAAACTTCTTCAGGCTAGCCTTTGTTTGTTTGAGCCTGTTCATGAAGGGCAGTGATACAAGCAAGCTACCGTCCATGCTTCCCCTGCATTGTCTTAAAGTGAATTGTTCTATAATGGAATGTCTGTAGTACCGAACAGAACAGAACAGAACAGAACTGTTATACCGTAAATAATTATGTTGATAAATATTTCAAACATTGAATTAACAACAGAAGAAATGTATCATTTGGATATTGCTACAAATAATTTCTTGAAAAAAGTTAAAAATTCTATGACATTTAGTTATGTCGTTCATATCATGTATAATGATATTTTGTTCTTGAACATTTCATTATCTACTATATAGATACATTTAATATCGACTCATGTATCTCACACTTGCCAACAATATTTATTATAATATATTAAGGTATGTCTGATACCAGATATTTCCAACTTCATTATTTATTGTATGACAGTTCTTCCATTATAGACCAATTCACTTTAACAACAGGAACTCTATAAAAAAAAGTCCGCCTTCCTTTACTCTCTGAAATACGTTGCTAATTACTTGAATTATTAACCTTAATTAATTTTAAATAAAAATTGAACTTACTTATTAAAGTATGCGTATGTAATGCATAAGTGATTCCAATAAAAGAAAAGTTTTATCATAAAAGAAAACAACAAAATGAATGCATTTCGTTGATTAACTTTAAATGATACAGACTTATAAATTGGCACGGAAAATGATATAAATAGCTATTTTCAAAACCGTTTCTCTGCTTATAGATATATAGTAATTAAAATGAACTGAACTATTTAAAAACATCGTCGAAGCCACGTTATGCAACAACTTTTATTCTTAAAATGTGTTTTGTAATATTTCAATGCCAGCTTAAATGCATGTTTTGTGCTTATAACTGAAAAGAAAAATAACGCTGACTGGGAAATAATTTGTCATAAATTTAGCAAAATATAAACAACAACAAAAATATAGTTTAAATGTATTATATTTATTGATTCAATATGTACCCTGTGTTGACAGCTTATATGTGCTCTAAAGTATGTAAACAATGGTAAACAATTGTTTCTACGAAAAAAAAAAATAGCATGATATTTACGAAATTTCACGAAATTTATTTTTTAAAGAAAAACATGCTTCTTCATTTGTCATATGAAAATTTCAGAAAAATATTCTCTATTTTATTCCCTCATATTCTGCTAAAGAGCTTTGCAGATGATCCTGAGAACTATGAAAGGGAACCCAATGTACTATAAAAAGTTAGCTGTTAGGATATCTTTAATTTATACAATTAAACATCGGGTGATCTGGGTGAGTTGAGTCACACACAAAACTGTAAACATAGTACAGTACATACGTAAAATGTCACACGTGTGACAAATTCGAACCGAATATGTCACACGTGTGCCATATTCGGTCTGTGCCATATACGGTCCGACATACGTACTATGTTCAAACGATGGTGGTTTCATAGTGCAAACGCACGCGACGCAACTGTTTTCACATTTAATTTATGTTTTTCCTCACTAGAAATAAGTGCATTTCACAAATAAAGAGATTAGAAAAAATTAAGTATCTGCTGTTATAAAAGTATGCAATACAATCAACGTTATAAAGTGCCTTCGGAGTATTAAATGTCCGGGGCTTCCGTAAGAAATTGTTGCTTGAAATGAAAAAAAAGTATGGTGGCTGATTTGGTACCCTTTACGCGTTGCGCTGTCGATAGAGACAACACAGCCTATATCGGTATCGCCTTTCCTTCTTGTCGCCAGCGAAACGGACCAAACGGCGCGTTGTCGCACTGTCGTCTTGTCATCCTGTCGCTAGCGAAGGAGTTGTCTTGCGGCGCGTTGTCGGCGCCGTATGGAGTTCATCATTAGCGGCAAGCAGACAAAACGACAGTGCGACAACGGGCCGTTTGGCGCTATATCGTGCTCGTTAGCGACAACTTGACGCACAAAAGTGTTCCAAATCAGCCACCATAAAAAAGACAGAAGGATCATAAACTGAAAGACATTATTTATGTGCAACATTTTATATCTGAAATGAATTATGTAAACGCATGTATATATGTTACGCGAATAAATGATAGAAAGTGTGAAATGTGTGTGCACTATGTAAAAATTTTACATGGAGATTTCATCGTCAAATTAATGATACTCATATAAATATTGTAAGAGTACTTTATCTTCAAAACAGCCATGATATTTAAACTAATACTTGACACAAAATGTGCAATGAAAATAAAATGAATTCATCAAAACCTTTTGGTTAATATCATTAAAGGCCCATTATGTCCAAGAAATGATGTTATTTTTATTCCTCAAAACCTTTTAATTTATGGTTTCCAAATAATTACTTATTGGAACCAGCTCCTTCCTTTCTTCCTTGGCAATTATTCCAATTATAGTGATTTAGTATGTTGTATGGAAGTCTAAGTGCTACTTCGTTTATGATTTGCAACTCAACTTTTATTGTCCATCATGGTTTAAAATTATTGTTTATATTTAAAGTTTATACATTTTGTAAACAAGAAAATTTTTTTTTTTTTGTGCTAAGTGTTCTCTACAAAAAAAGAAGAAAAACAGAAACGAAACAGAACATAAAAATAAAAAATCTAAAAAAATGTAATTGATGTAAAATGAATTTGTGGTAACAAACTCAATTATAACATAGAGGATTTTTAAACGAGGGATTCAATCTTGAAATCATAATTATCACAAATTAAGATATTGTTTTTGTATTTCGATATCATATTTTTTTTTACACCAGATGCAGTATTCCTTTCTTTACAAATGATACATTCGAAACGCAGGGGAGACGTCACGAGGTATTTGTTAACAAGACCATACCGATGGTTGTTGAAGGGGATGATATGTCCGCATATTCACAATGTGAAATATACAAAACTTCTTTAAATACATCATACTCAGCTTTGAATATGCCGCCTTCAAATACAAGTACAGAGCAGTGCAACAAATGGGTGTACGACAGCAGTGTTTTAAAGGACACCTTTATTACACAGGTATAATCAAAGCGCTGTAAGCACTGAATAAAGGCATTTTATGTAATGGTTGTTACATGTTGTTAAGCAGAAATATCTTCTTTTTTTGTTTGATCTTTTTAGCAGTCATTCAATTTCAGCTGAGTCCTGCTAAACCAAAACATTCAAACAGAATGCGCTAGTGATAGTTTTTTGACATGGTAATCTTCCCTAAGTGACATCAAATGAAAAAATACAAAACAAGTGTGTTGCTCCGAATCTCGTCAAAAACTTTGGATTCGTTCATATCATAAAGCTATTCAGCTATCTTCGGTGCTTCTTCTCAGCGACCCGCTTGTGTCTGACAAAAAATGTACGAAGGGGTACCAGTTTTTGTCTTTCATCAGTAAAGCAAGGGTGACTTTTTTAAAACAAACAGGCAAATCATAACAAAACTGTTTCTATGTACGCAGTTTGCTGGTGTATACATGCCTTTGGGTATGTCTGTCGCAAACATGTTTATCATCTTCTACTTTATAGACAGAATTTGGAATTCTAAAAAAGAAGATCTAACTAAAAACTGAATATCTTGAAAAGAAATTGTGAATTTTAATTAATACTAGTTAATGACACCTCCACTTGGCTTAATGCTTTATTAATATGGATATACATTTGTTTTTCAAGGCAAATCTTGTGTGCAAGAGGGTGATAGCCCGAGCAAACGCCAACATGATCTACTTCAGTGGTAAGATGACAGGTGCTTTAGTTTTAGGGCTTTTGTCCGATAGGTAAGTTAACAAAGATTTAAGGATCAAGATCAGGATAAAATTTAAAAACTCAAATATTTTCCATTGTTTATTCTCATAGATTAAATATTAAATATCATCTTGAAAAAATGGACTTGAAATAGCATGATAAAATAAATCTAATATTATTTTATCTCTAATTAGGATTGTTTCTTTGCAAATGAGCATTTTTTTACATTTTGTTTATGTACCATTTAATTTTAGCAAAATACCAATCAATTTTAGAATCGTAAAGCAATGAAATAAAATCTTGATCCTGATATTTTCTCAGTGAACATGTGGTCTGAGGTTAGAACAATTGTTTGTTAAGTTGTGGTCTACTGGGTTCTTGCGTTACATTTGTTTTGTGTTAGCGACAACCAATGTCTAAGTTCTATTCAAAATCATAGTCAGTGTCTTGTATAACCGATCAATTCTGTATCCAGTTGGTTAAATGCTAGACCTAGTAAATTATAATTACCAATTAGATATCCCTAAAATTTCTTAAATTGGAAGATGTACTGATAAGTAATACAGCAGCTTGAGGGTAAACAATTTACATTCACATGTGTTACAGTGTATAACAGAAACCAATAAAGTAGATTTTTGTGATATTGCAACTTAGCATTTTATCTTTCGGTTTTACACCTTCAGGTTCGGTCGGAAGAAAGTATTGATTATTAGTACATTAATGCATGTAGGCGGTGCGTTTGGATCTGCTTTCGCTACGGATTACATCTTTTTCGTTGCCATGAGGTTTATCATTGGAGTTTCATGTACAGGAATGTACAGCTCGTCGTTTGTTTTAGGTATGTGAAACAATGTAAATATTTTTTCTCTCAAAATTTGTAATTTATTTAAGATTTGAGAATAATTTGACAATCATCAGATTGTTTTAGTTTTCATTGACCACGGTTAATGAAAAGAAGAACTTTGTGCATAGGATTACTTGTCTGAAAATTACCTGGAAAATGATTGCGAATAGCCTGAATATCTACCGGAAGTTAAAGCGAAATAAACAGTCTACGACCGAAAAATATTCCGATTTATGATCTTGTTACTTTATTGTAGGAATGGAACTTGTGATTCCATCAAAGCGAGTTGCGGCTAGCTACATGCTAGATATGGCATGGTGTGTAGGACTATACATCTTGTGTTTTCTTGCCTTCGTCACACGCAGCTGGGACATGATCCTTCTAGTCATGGCTTCACTGACGGTGCTTCTCTTTGTGTGTTTATGGTTAGTATAAAAAAGAATCATGGCAGTGCATTAAATTCATAGTCAATGAATGATAGGCAAAATAGGCCCTGATTCAGCCAAGATTTTGTTTAAATAAGCATCTGTTTATGCCCCCATGATCTTTCAAGTGAATGAACTTTGACGCGATTTCATAAAGATACAAACAACTATTCTATCGAATACATGCCTTCTTATTTAAAAATATACTCTTTGAAAAAACGCATGCATGGCATCTAATTGTTTTTGAAAAATCACCCTCGGTATAATAGTGATCCCTCGAAGCAAAGAAAGGGTAATTCACGTGTAAAGTTATTAGCAGGTACATTTGCTGAATTAATATTTCTATATTAAGGCTTAAGCATGGTTTATCACGTCTGAGTATTTCTGAAATATACTTTTTTATTTTGTCTCAGGATAATACCAGAATCGCCAAGATGGTTGAAGTCAAAAGGTCGGTTTATCGAGGCCAATGCTGTTATTCTGAAATGGGAAACCATTAATGGTAAAAAAGCACTTACTGATACTTCTTCAAGTAAAAATACCAAAGATGACATTGAACCTGAGAGTGTTCTCAAAATGTGCACTATACCTAACTTGTTGATAAGAACCCTCCTCATTTACTTGAACTGGTAAGCCATATTTTTATGAAAACATTTTCAAGAGCAATGACTCATTGAAAATTTTGTAGTTTCTATTCAAGATGATTTACATAAATATGCTTACGAATTATTCTTGGTACATATGAAGAGTCTTGTGTCCGAACGTTTTTAATTATGCAATAAACATGAATTGGTGACTCTTTGTAAAAGAAATACGTGACAAGGTGTTTTAATCTAGGGCACATTCATGTTTGCAATATTTTAGTAATTTTCCAGAGCCAATTTTATTAAAAATTCATATTTAAAAACTCAATATTATATTTTGTCTAAGCATATTAAACTTCAAGCTTCAATTCACCGGGATAGCAATGGTGAATAATCTAAATCTCATTTCTGGTGTTTTCGTTCAGGTTTGTTATCATTATGGTTAACTTTGGAATCAGCTTAAATGTTGGGAATATGGATGGAGATTTATTTGTGAATTTTGCGATAATCAGCAGCATGGAAATGTTAGCATACACGTTCTGTTTCCTTTTGCTCAACAAAACAGGCCGAAAACGCCTTCTGGTAGGAACATTGTTCTTCTGTGGCGGAGCCTGTATTCTATCAGTGTTTGTCATGTTGTTTTTTGACAAATGTAAGTATTTTTCTTTTCATTTCATTTTGTTTCATGGTTTTAAGTATTGTTAGAAATTTAATGGCTAAAATTTGACTAATTACATCAGAAAAGCATCTTTATGCTAGCCATGTAACACTTAATATGGTTGCTAGCTGAATGTACATAATTTCAAGAGCAATGATAATATTTGGACATATTGAGGGTTCATACATAATTATCCCCCGCATATGCAATCGGAAGGGGGTATTGTTTTGGCGTTGTTCGTCCGTCCATCGTCCGTCCTTCCGCTCTCAGTGGACAGTAATAATGTGGCTAGAGGGACAATAGGTAACTGTTCTTTCTCTTTGATGTCATTCATTCGGTAATGCTTTTATGTGGCTATTTTCTTTTGTGTGCCTAAAAAGAACAATAGAGAGAACAATAGAGTAGCCACATAATTACTGTCCCGTTAGAACGTCCTTTCATCCGTCCGTCCGAATTTTCGTTTCCGCGCTAGTTCTCTACAACTACTGGCTGGAATTCAACAAAACTTTATGAGAATCATCAATATTAAGAGGAGATGCGCATATTGTCGGCTTGTTCCAGTCAGACCTTTTATCTCGGAGTTATGGCCCTTGGTTAGCTATGCATATAGAGCAAAAATCGTTTCAGCGCTACTTCTCTGCAACTACTGGCTGGAATTCAACGAATCTTTATGATAACCCTCAATATCAAGAGGAGATGCGCATATCGTCGCCTTGTTCCGGTCAGACCCTTCAACTCAGGGTTATGGCCCTTGATTAGTTATGCATTATGCATATAGAGCAAAAATCGTTTCCGCGCTACTTCTCTGCAAATACTGGCTCGAATTCAGCGTAACTTAATGGGAAGCTTCAATACCAAGAGGAGATGTGCATATAGTCGGCTTGTTCCGGTGAGATCTTTCAACTCCGAGTTATGGCCCTTGATTAGTTATGCAGTATCCATATAGAGCAATAATCGTTTCCGCGCTTCTTCTCTGTAACTACTGGCTGGAATTCAACGAAACTTTAAGTGGAACTTTCAATACCAAGAGGAGATGCGCATATCGTCGCCTTGTTCCGGTCTGACACTTCAACTCAGAGTTATGGCCCTTGATTAATTATGCAACTGCTGTATTGATTTCAACAAAACCTTATGGGAACGATAGATACAAAAAGACAATTTACATCTCAATGGCATGACCTGATAAATACTATTTTATACGGAGTTATGGCTCTGTTATTGCACTGAATGTTTATCATGTGCAAAGATTATTACTGTTTACGCCATGATAAAAATATATAAATAAAGCCATATGTCTTCAGTTGTTGTGTAAGTAATAACCAGTACTCGGCGGGGGATATAAATTCAACTTATTTGCTTGTTTATCATTATATTATTATGTACACTCTTTTAAGCAAAACTTTTGAAAAGTTTTTAATTTAATGGATATATATGAACTACCTAAAAATTAAACCTATATTTTTGCTAAGTTTATATTGTTTTTTTTTTTTGTGTGGCAATTCGCTTAGTACTAGTACTTATCTGTGTACCATTTGTTTCAGCGTTATATTGGATCACGTTGGTTTTGTCTTATATCGGTAAGTTTGGAATTACTGCCTCGCATTCTATCATCTATGTTTGGTCAGCAGAACTATTTCCGACAAAGGTTCGAAACTCTGGAATCGGTACGAGCAGTGTAGTTGGCTTTGCAGGAAGCATGACTTCACCATATATCTCTGACTTGGTACGCTTTATCTTTGTCTGAATGATTAATATCAGGATCATTTGAGCCGCGTCATGACAAAATCAACATAATGGGTTTGCGACCAGCATAGATCCAGAACAGCCTGCGCATCCGCGCAGTCTAATTAGGATCCATGCTGTTCGCTGTCAGTTTCTCTACTTGATATAGGGTTTGTAAGCGAACAGCATGGATCATGATCAGACTGCGCGGATGCGCAGGCTGGTCTGGATCCATGCTGGTCGCTAACACACTATGTTGGTTTTGTCATGACGCAGCTAATTTGTTTGTGAACACAGGGCCTGATGACATATGACGTGCCAACTTCATATATTTCAGTAAAAAAAAATCACTCCTGACATAAGTCATTACTTGATAAGGTAAAAATGAGAAAAACAGGTAGAATGCTTTTTTACATAATTTCTTCATTTAGGTGAATTTCATAGAAATTTTAAGTTCACTTAGGACATAATAGAAGTCAGATTTTTATATATTCCTGGGTGAGAGATAAATTTAGGATAGAACAATCACGTGACTATAAATTAATTGCTTTTGCTTATCAATGTTTCGGCATCAGGATAAATATTGAAACAAATAACAAATTGGGTGAGAAATAGAAATAAAATAAAGCACACCATGGTGTTGTACAACTGCACATTTTTTTTATTAATAAATGACTAGATTTCCTTAACACCATTAATATACAGCCCTATTAATAGTTTATATTTATTTTTCTGACAAGAAATAAAGTTAAGAAAATTAATAATGTTGGAACGTTTTGTAACTAAACATTTTTTTCAGGTTTCTGTACGGTGTTCCGTTACGGTCATCGCCTACGAATAAAAAATTGAAACTCAAAAGTCGGAAACACGAAGGGGCGATGGCGAAATGACGAAGGGACGAAAACACGAAAGTACGAAAACGGGAAAACGCGAACAGAGGATGACGAAAACGCGAAGACATGATGACGATAACTCGACAAATTGAAGTCTATAATTATAGCATTTTCGTCATCGTGTCTTCGCATTTTCGTCGCCGTCTCTTCGCGGTTTCGTGTTTTTGCATGTTCTCTTCGTGTTTTCGTCATCGATAACGTCCCTTCGCGTTTTCGATTTTTTCGCGTTTCAAATTTCTTCTTTCATAGGTGATGACACTTACGGAACACCGTTTTACTCCGACATAAACGCTATGACTTATTGTATGAAATATACATATTAATCAGGCTCCAAATTTGCAGCATACACTACATTCCCTATGTAATGCAAATTTGTTAATTTTGTTTTATTTCCATATTTTGTTAAAATAAAACATTTTCACCTTTTTCTTGTGGAAAACTTAGTTCCGTATATCTTTTCCTTTATGTGACTCTGATATTCCTGATATTTATATCCCCTTATAAAAAAAATAATAAAACAAATCTTTTAAATATCTTTTTTTTTTAATTTCAGGGAAAGTATGTACATGGTTCATTCGGGGAGGTTTTGCCGCAGGTTATATTTGGAGCTTGTTCTGTCATAGCTGGTATGACGTCACTTCTTCTCCCGGAAACCAATGGAAAAGCACTTCCGGAAACTGTGTTTGACGCTGTCCAATTTGGAAAGTTAGTATTTACAATTGTATCATCTAATCTAAAGAACGACAGCACGGACGGGACTCGTGAGATCTTTTGGAAAGACAATTTAACATACGAGATGTGTTTTATTGTTTCGTTTTATATTAAATCGTGACTGCGAGAAAACTTTTATAATTATTATCATTATAATTATCTCCAGGCACTGTATAATTTTAAACAGTTCCCACGTAACCCTTATAGACATGGTTATAACATTTTCCTAAAGAGGAGGGCACTGTACATTTTTAGATGATTTGTAATGGATGTAAGATTGTAATATTATAAGATTTTTATTTTTAAGTGTTTCAATAATAGTAATTAGACGTGAACTTGTAGAGTAAAATAAAAAAACAAAAAGTTATACAGGCGAAATAATTGTCGAATAAAATAACAATTATTTAAAAAACTAAAATTTTCTTGTAATTAATCTTTGGACAAACACATTTGACTAGTTTCATATGATTTTGAACTTTTTTCAAGTTTATGCAATAGTTAACTGAAAATTTAAGGAAAAGTAAAACATTAAGGGCTTCTTATTTTGAATAATTCCAGTTAGAATAGATGGAAAATTTTTTACTTATTTAAATATTCTAAAGACAGATTTTTTTGTTATTTTGACATATGTATTAATATAGACCTCCCATTGTCTCAATTCCCTGAATGTTTGTATTTTCTCGCGCATGCTCAGTCTGTGTTGGACAAAACAATAACAACAACAACAACTAAAGCACAGCTTTGTGAAAGAAAGATGTATGTGAGCAATTCCGTGATATTTTATAAGGTAGGGGTAGGGGGGGGGGGGGGGGGGACAATAAAGCCTATCTAAAAATATTCAAAATCATTATTTTAATTTCATTCAGGAAAAAAGCGGACGACAGGAATAGCCGGTTAAACTGTTTCTATACTAATGATGCATTTAACAAAGATGAGCTGACAGGCGAAGTGTAGTGCTGAACAAACATCTTAAAACTTAAAAATTATAATTGAGCCGTGTCACGACAAAACCAACATAATGGGTTTGCGACCAGCATGGATCCAGACCAGCCTGCGCATCCGCGCAGTCTGATCAGGATCCATGCTGTTCACTTACAAACCCTATAACAAGTAAAGAAACTGATAGCGAACAGCATGGATCCTGATCAGACTGCGTGGATGCGCAGGCTGGTCTGGATCCATGCTGGTCGCAAACCCATTATGTTGGTTTTGTCGTGACACGGCTCATATTTTATCATGATGCGTGCGTGTCGCGCTTATATGTTTACTTTCTGATTTGAATTTGGCGTTTAGAACACTTTCTTGGAGCGTCCAATAAAAACATTAAAGACACGTGACAATTGTATTACTAACGTGAGTCTTTTGGAACCGTGAAGCATTACATTAAAAAACAGGACATTTATTTAAATACAACTTAAAGACTGGCTTAAATGTTGGAGGCTAGATAGACTAGCTACTGCGCACGTCCCAAGCACTGACACAACGATTAGATGCAATATATTATAAATAATCTTGTCATGGTGTAAATAGGCTAATGTATGTACACAATCTAATTAAAATCAGCCATAAATAACGTTCCGCTTTTAGATGTAACCGTGACCACATACGAAATCATTTCTGGTGACCTTTCATACAGCCAATCATCGGCGAGCTTTCATAAGTTTTGAAAAAGCGATGTGGTTTTATAATTCTAATATATATATTATAATAATTATAAGCCCGTCTACACTATCCAAGTCTTGAATGCAAGTATCATATTCTCTTGTATTGGATAGTGTAGACACCCTACTTGAATGAGTTTTAAAGAGAAATTATGTGACATCCAAGAAGATAATTCCTTGCAAGAAAGTTAGAACACGTTCTATTTTTCTACAAGTTTTTGGCTGTCAAGACACTGATAACACCGGTTTGACACAAAACATGTGCAAATCGTTAACAAACATGGCGTTGTCCTTATAGCCGGCAGGGAAACTGGCAAAACAATCTCGTCCATTAAAAATTGGCTCTATTATTTCAAGTTAATTTGTTATAAAACGTTTTTTTTCTAACAAAACAACAACAATATGTTTAACTTTCAAGGATAACGGTATTTTAATAGTTCTGTAAACTTGGCTAATAATTACTTTCTCGGGAAATCCGAATTATAAACAATTCGAAACATCAGATCTATATATCAGAAATAAACTTTAGTAAGATTGTGTATGTACATGTTTATAAATATTTAAATAACAACAGTATTAAATCGATATTATTGTACACGTCTGTATAGTTATCACTTACGTAATATATCATTCATAGCAGCATCTTCTATGGAAATCATAGCAGCATCCTCCATTAAATCAATGCAGCGTCCTCATCCACATAAAGCAGCGTCCCTCAAAGGAGGAAAAGTATCATATTCCTTGATATTAAATCAGCATACTTCACCATACCATGGTATCTTCATCTACGATATTAAAGCGTCACCCTTTCCAAGGCCGTAGAAGAGTTTCCTTCAGAAAGGTCAAGCAGTATCCGTCATGAAATCAAAAGTAGCGTCTTCCACGATACCAAAGTGGTTGTCGTGAAGAACTGACGTTTTTTCCGAGAATGAGCTTTCTGTTCCCTTTCACCATTGTATTACACATAACACAAATATTGTATTACACATAAACACAAATATTAGAAAATTTCAACTTTAAGTTAAAGTGAAAACACAATAATAATAATAATAATATCTTTATTTAAAGAAGGTTACACATTAAGAACATACAATAACAATCATATATATCTTATTTCCAATGTGGCCTTCTGAAATAGAAAACAACAAAAACAACAGGACATGCTTAGGTAGAAAAATGAATGTATAGTATGTAATTTTTAGAATAATACAACTCATATACTTTCGACAGACACTCAACAATTGTTTAAACATATACGTATATTGCATCATTCGTTCGTTCGTTCATTTATTCATTTATTCATTCATTCATTCATTCATTCACTCATTCATTCATATGAACATCAAGATATGCTTTGTATTTTTCTTTAAAACATTTAAGGTTATTAACATTACGAATGTTTAAAGGTATATTGTTCCAAATGTTCATGCCATAATAAGAAAATGTGTCTTTAATATAATTTGTTTTAGGTCTTGTCCATAATACAATATCTTTTTGTGACCTAGATCTTAAGTTATATATTTTGTTGTCGGATAAAGTCATCAGTTCTGTCATATAAGTCGGAGCCATGTTATTTAAAGTTTTAAAAACAAGCACCGCCGTGTGGTATTTACATCTGTCTAGGAACGGTAACTAGTTAAGAGTTTCGAATAGATTTATTGACGGAGATCTTTGTGGTTGCTGTAAAATGATTTTAGCAATTCGTTTTTGTAATTTACAAACATTATTTATGTAGTTTGTGTTTCCTTTACCCCATATAATACAACAATAGTCCATAATGGGCAATATATATGCATTTTAAAACAATAATTTCATATCAAAGTGCAAAAAATACGATTTTTTTTTTCAATAAGGCAATTTTTCCGTTAAGTTTTTTACAAACATTGTCAATTTGCAAGTGCCATTTTAAGTTGTTACAGACTTTTTGATCAGTTACATTTTCAAGAGCTTTACATTTATCTTAAGATACAATTTTCTCATAATATTTACTTTTTGTCTTGTTTCTATTACCATACATTTTGATTTATCTGGATTTAAGGCCATATTATTTATTTTGCACCATTTGTCAATGTTATTTAAATGATCTTGAAGTTTTATTTCTACTTTTGATATATTTTCTCCGGACTCATAAAGAGTAGAATCGTCTGCGTATAAATCATTTTTTATATCATTAGCAATAAAAGCTATGTCATTTATGTATATAGGAAATAATAAAGGTCCTAATATTGAGCCTTGTGGAACACCGGAAATTATTTTCATTGTCTGAGATTGAAGATTACATATCTTAACCAGTTGTATTCTGTTAGAAATATATGACTTAAAAAACTTAACGGCATTTTCAGAAAAATGATAAAGTTTAAGTTTATGCAAAAGTATTTCATGGTCAACCAAATCAAAGGCTTTCTTTAAGTCTAAGAATACAGTCCCCGATAATTTTTCCACTGTCAACATCTTTTAACCAAGTATCTATTAAACTAATGAGTGCAGTATTACATGAATGATTTTTACGAAATCCTGATTGTTTATTATGAATTATGTTCGTTTTTTCAAAGAATGAGTGTATTTGTTTGGCAATATGGCGCTCAAATATTTTGGATATAGTTGACAAAATTGATATCGGTCGATAGTTATTTGCTTCATTCTTATCCCCCGATTTAAAAATAGGTATAAACTCGAGCTCTTTTTAAATCATCTGGGAAAATATTAGATTTAATACTATTATTGATAATTGATGCAATTGGGTGTAATATAATCTCCACAATATTTGATGATGTTTGGTCCAATTCCATCTAATCCTGTAAGTTTTTTAATATTCAGTTTTTTCAATAATAAGTTTTACTTCAAACGGTGTAATTAATTCAATATTAAATTTAATGATATATTAGCTTTTGGTCTAAAGTTTCTTTCAATTTTGAAAAATTTGTATTTGAAAACGACATTCGAGATATTGACAAAATTCTTGTTTAATTCATTTATAATATTTACATTTCCGTAAATTTCTTTATTACCTGTCACTAGTCTGTCTGGCATTGTAATACAACCTTTTTTATTTAGATTTGAAACGTCCTTTAAATTTTTCCATAAAAATGCCGGGTCTTTGTTATTTTTAATAGCATTGTTAAAGAAATCTCTTTTACTTTTTTTAATCATTGATGATATTTTATTTCTGAGCAATTTGTATTGTTCATGTTTCCCTACTTTATGATAGTAATCGCGTTCATGTATTAGATATTTTATCTCATCAGTAAACCATTCCGGCCGGTGTTCACGTTTGATACGTTTTTCTTTTATTGGTGCATGCTTTTTCAAGATAGTATTTAAAATGGAGTAAAATAAGCTAAGGAATTCATTCGGATTAATTATTTGCTCGACTAATTCAAGATCGGATAAAGCAAGGTCTACCTGAAAATCAATTTCATTGAAGTTTTTAAAACATCTATATTTAATCGAATTATGTTCATTAATCAATCGGGTACATGCTTTCGTTGATCTTGAAATACATATCGGATAATTATCACTTAATGAGGTATCAGAAACAAACGATTCAATAATATATCTGCTACTGTTTGTATAAACATGATCTATAATTTTTTGGTACGTTTTGTTATCCTAGTAGGATCTGTGATAAGTTGTTTCAAACCATATTTCGTTATCAAATCACCCCATTTTGTATTGTCATATTTTTTCTTTTTATTCATTGGATAAAAGTTTATATTGACATTTCCTAGAATATGATATTCTATATTTGATATATCTATTATACTAAGTTGTTTTTCATAATCGTCAATCCAAGATTGGTGTAAATTTGGTGGGCGATATATAAAATTTAAAAGAAAAGGTTTGCAATTTGGGTAAATAATTCCCAACCAAACAGATTCTAATTCGTCCTTTTCTATATCGTAACGGCGCCGATATGGCACCTTGTCAGCAATATATATTACAATTCCCCCGCCTTTGTGACAACTTTTACGGTCCTTTCTTTCGTGTGTGAAATTGTTTATATCTAATTTATCGCCTGTTGTATCATCACCAAGAAATGTCTCAGTAAAGCCGAAAATATCTGGCGAATTTAATTTGTTTAATAGATTGTATTTTATTTTGTCTATTTTAGGCATTAACTGATTAACGTTAAGGGGTGCAATATGTAAACCTCGTTTTTTTTCAAACTTAGAATTGAACAATTTATTATCTGGAAAACTTAATTTATGGAGCGTAACATTATTTAGTACTTTGCAATAATATTCATCATATCCGTATTTATTGTACTGATTGTTCAAAAGAAACAATTGGATTATCAGATGCATTAGTGTCTATTAATTTCCGTTCTTTTACTATCAAATCGATAATTTTTCGCGTATTTAAACAGATGTGTAAAATATCAATTGTGGAATACAACATAAAATCGTAACATACATTATAAACAAGAATAAAAGAAGGAGTGTACATGCCTCCTATCATAATACAAGTTTTCCTGCAACCATTTCGTAGGAACATATCGAAACCGACTTTTTGGGGAGGCTATGCCTCCCCAATGTTAATACCGTCCGTCAAATCTTACTGCCGCGGTAATCAGGTCAAAAAATGGTACCTTGATTTTTTCTAAGCTGACTCATCACTCATCACAGACATTTACAATATGAAAATATTTTTATTCTTTAATGTCATATCTGCAATTTGTAAAGATCATAATTCTCTGAAAAATTCTTGATTTTTGTTTGTTATTTTTTCAAAATCACTACTCCGTGACGTCATACTGCCGCGGTAATCAGGTTTAGGCATACGTACGTCTGTAATAAATAGTTCTGGTATGAAAACCCTTCTACATAATAACTTTATCAATAATTTTTTAACAAAAAGCATAAGTGAAAATTTATAAGTAAATGCTTTAATTAGGTGGCAAATATTCTTTATTATTTTTTATAACAATTTTCCAATTACTACGCAGCGACCAACTGTTTATGACGGGTCATTAACTAGAACGTTGCAACACCGTAGTCTCAATATCATGCATGTTCTTTTGTTGATATAAACCATTAATAGTCCTTAATATTTTTTAAAGACAAATAATGGTAAATTGTCGATTACATCAGAGACATTGATCGTGCTTGCGTGATAACTAAGGAAAACTAACCTATTAGTACACCCTAGGAGGCTGTACGCGGAAAACGCTCATAAACCGCTATATCATATAGCTGTAAAGTGAACAGTTAAATGACAGAAATATGTGGTCAAATATGTTTTAACAAGGAAATAATTATTTCAGAGAAAGACGCAAAGATCAGTCTTCAATCAAATGAATGACCCCGTATTGTGTAATTAGAAAGTTTATTCAATTCTAGGGCAACGCATCATAATTTGATAGTCCATGTGTAATAAAATTCAAATTTTCAATACAGATTATGAAATACATAAAAAATATTAAAGAATAAGAAGCTTAAAAAAACAACAAAAAACGCATATATATACGAATGACTTACAGTCGAGCATCGGGAATTTACGGAAGAGCATTAGTGCCAGGTGTATCTTTTTATTAACTCGAAATTTCGAGTTAGTAACTCGAAATTTCGAGTTAGTAACTCGAAATTTCGAGTTAATAAAAAGATACACCTGGCACTAATGCTCTTCCGTAGTAATTCATCAACATATCTTACGAAACTTTAATTTGAAAACGATATTTGCGCGCGCTGAAGTGATTAATGTTTATTTGAATAAATCAAATAAAAAAACTTATATGTTTGTGTTTTAAAAATAATCGGCGGCATAAGAGGAATTTCGTATTCATTTTACAACACTTGAAAAAATACTACAGAAAATGTGTTGTTGTTTTTTTGTTTTGTTTTCAACAAAAGTGTGTGTTTTAAGTTTATTTATACTCGGGGCCGGAATAACCATATGTCCGAGATTATAGCATCGGGGACGTCTTTTTCAAGCCGAATCTTCCTGGTAGCCCATTCTTCGTTCGTTGGCGGTAAAGGAGACGACAATACTGTCAAGGCATCAACTTCCTGACTGACGACAACAAAAACGGCATTCATTAGCGCCAAACCTCCAGAGTAAGTCACGACAGGTCAACCAATCACCTCTGGTACTTGAGATGACTTGACCTTGACCTGCAGTGTGCCTTCTCCGCGACGTGCACGTCTCTGGAGGGATTTGGAGAAGTTTCAACAAAAACTTCCAAAACACGCTATTTATAACACCATTCATAGCACTGATGCTTCGATGTTCTCATCTATTTGCGGGAAATGGTCGACAGGGAAAACCCTACGTAATAACCGCACAGCCTGTTAACAATAGATTTTCCGCAGTTATATTTCAAGCTAGTGAGGTTTAAAAATGCATGTAGAATCTATCTATTAACTACCATAAGTTGGTTGAGTGTTGGTGGTAAAAAAAGAAGATATAACTTCCTGATCAATTTTCACTTAGGTTGATTCAATTTTGAATAAGCTTTGCAGATATGTTTTTTTTTCAAGAAATATTTAGTTTTAATAAATATCCGAAGCCGTCAAAGTCAGCGACGAGTAATGAAATGGGAATAATTTTCTGAAACGGGATTTTATTCGAGATTTGCTTCGGGAGAAGACAACTTTCTGTCCGTAGAGCATGAATATTAATACTCATCACAAGACAGTATCTTATTGATCTCAATTATTGTACATGACATGTAAATATGTATAATTTTTATGTTCAATAAAAATGTTGCATAACTTGCAGTTGTTATTATCATTCAATGATAATAAAATGACATAAAGTATTTATGATGAACAGTCCTAGAATATTTTGATAAGGAACAGTCAGTTGTAAAATGTTATTGTTATCTTATAATGAACAGTCGTCATACTTTCTGGTATGTCATTTATTATTGACAGTTTAGGTTTTTCAAAATTTGCAGGATTAGCAGTCCGAATGTAGACCTCAATGAAATGTTCTGGAATATTAACAAAATGAATAGTCAACCATATTAACCATACATATGAATGGTTGAACACAACAGTAAGGAAAAATGACATAATGTGTATATCTTCTTATTTTGGTAATAATTGAAATAACAGCACATTTTAAGCAAAAAGAAAAGAAACTATAAGTCTGAAACATTCTGTCATAGCCTCCCTATCAGTACATTCAGTACTTTGATTCATTTTGCAGTAGCTTACTTGTTGTGTTATTTTCTCTATTTTTTATTTAACGGAATTAATTGAAAAGTTCTTGTGTGTGTGACTGAAATATTACTATATAGTTATTTCTTATTTGAGATATACCAGATATGTTAATGTAATATATATTAGAGAAAATCAAAGTCAAATTAACTACATTTGTAAAACTATTTGTTTTACTCTCAAATACCTCGATCCAGTAATCTGTGAGAATACACATGTTACTGTTTTTTGATGAAATCTCATTTTTGGAATCTTTTTCTAACAAAGTAGTCTCATTACGTTCACTTACATTGTTTATGTATTCATTGTTAAATTTATTTTTTTAAACGTTTGGAATTTGTCTTTGCTATAATAGTTTTTAGAGTGTCTTTCCGCATTATCCTAGTTCAGATACCAACAGTATTTATTCTTCCGCAGATAAAACACTGATCAAAGCCTTTCCTACTTCCGGTTCCGCCATATCGCATTTCACTGGAAAAGCCGTACCCGTTGCTCCGCTTCGAAGAATGTTGCCACCTTCTTGTCAAGTTTTTGTTCATGCTTCTGGTTCTACCTGTTACAGTTGCGCGCATATCGGAATTTGGGGAGGATTGTTGTTTGATTATAAAGTTCTAGTCACTGTTTACGGAAACTTAGATACTTTTTTGTGAATGAATAAGATGGTCTAAGATTCCCACCTGGTTTCATGATATCATTCATGATATCGTTCATGATTTGTTAGATCTACAGGTACTGTACACTTTTCTTAACCTTTTTAACAACATACGTTTTCTCTTTGGCGCTTTGAAGACAGTATCTACGTCACGGCGAATAAAGATGACATCATCTAGGTAGTCATAGTTCGAAAATATGATAAATCCTTTTCTCCCCAGCCGTCCCGAGCTGTATTTGTCTAGCATAATGAATTTATGCCTCTTTTGAACATGCCATAGATGTTTTTCGTCTCGTCGGTACTGTGTGATTCTTGCTTTTAGAAAGAGTCTTTCTCCATACCCCTTTTCTTTGGCAATTCTAACGTAAAATGCTTTGGAAAATACAAAAATAAAGATATTTCAAAATAATGAAAAAAAGACCCAAAATAACAAATTTGATGAAAATGCATTTTTTTAAAAAAACATAAGATTGTTAAATTTAGATCTTCACATTTTGTTGCATTTAATTAAATACTCGTAAATTCTCAACTTACCAAATGTTTTACTACATATTAGAGCTTTCGTGATGGAATGTTTTAAGTAATTTGTTTCCAGCTTTGGTAGTTTATTGCTTAGAAAAGCATCATTCCGAGAAATATGTTGACATGGTGCGCTGGTAGATCTTCTTGCATATACATCTAAACTGCAACATCTGAAATAGTCGTTCCATTTACTGATCATTAACAGTTAGGTATGACTTTCAATTTTGATTTTGTAATTCAAATATTTCCAAACACGGTGCCCTTTTTAGCAGATTATCTAGCTTCTTTTCGCTGCTAAAGCCTAAAAGCAGCTGATCTTATTAAATGTATTTGAAAGGCCCAGTATGCTTCAGAAAGGCTTTTTTATTTTCCCAAAACCTTTTTTATTTTGACATGCTTTTATAGTATTCCAAAAGTTACTCCTGACCTTTTTAGACAACGTGTCTTTATTTTTGGGTTAACTCTTTTCTATTAAATCTGTCAACGGTTAATCAGAGAAAGTACGTTTCAAAACGAGCTTTAACTGCCCATCTACTTGGCTATAGACATTTAAACGTTTTAAATAACGCGGAAAAGTTGTAATTGATTTTCCTGTTTTCCTACATTAAATGACATTATAGAGGTTTCAAGCTTTGTTGGCTTCCAGTGTATAAGTTAAACTAAAATTCCTGTTAAAACAGACCCCATCATTGATAGCAGGGATAGATATATATCAACGGAAACTGTTTCTTGACACACCCGATTCCTTCATTAACGTATGATAAAAAAAATACATAATACAAATAAATGTAAAAAATAAGCTTACATATGATGTCTTTCCGGTTTATCATCGTGAATTCTATATATAGATCTAGATTCCAGACAGCATGTTTGTTTGTCCGGTCGGTATACACCAACTCCACAACATTGGTATGAATCTTTGTCATGGCCAAGCACCTTCATAGATGTTATGTTGCAGATCGCCGACTCCCTTTAAAAAAAGAATATACAATGTTTATTTTAATCGAGTTAATTGAATAAATATTTTGTAAAGAATATATTCTCGACACGCTTAAGTGATTGATTGATTCGATTATGTCAGATGTTAGTTCATTTTATCAACTAGAATCAAGGAAATATGTGATTTGCAGTGTTATGGTATCGTTGCCACCATCACAGGCATCAAATTCATTTTCCGTGCCTCGTAAAGTTAAATAAGTGTAAGGCAAAAAATATTTGTCAGACCGGAAGCAAATAGTGACGATGTTCACCGGACTTTAACGATAACATATCGTCATAAACTCGACATTATTATTATGTTTAGACCATTCGGCTTTTCAACTTGCCACACGGAAAAACTTGCATGTCACAAATCAGTCACCGTATAATGTAAACAATACAATACTATTGAAATAAATTCAAGTATTTGTTAAACAGGGAAGAATATTTTTAAAATACGCCAAAATAGACATAAGAAATAAAAAATAAACTACATGTATGAATGTAAAGTTAATCGGATATCAGTGCTTACTGGTTAGAGAATTTTATGATTAATTTGTTTGTAAAAGGAATGTTTTACTTTTATAAAATGGTATAGAAAGGAAGAAATGGAAGGAAGGAAATGATAAAATCTGTGTTTTAATCGTGCAATTAGAAGTTGATTTTATTCTCGTATTCAAACGATTAGCGATATTTAATTTCCACAGAGATAAATAGGATAAAAGGAATTTATCCGACAGAAGTGTGAGTGAGCAATTAAAAATAAATCAGGAAAAAAGCTGATAGATTGGTGTAAAGATATTCAAATTCTATATGACGCTTAAAATTTATAGTTGGTACTGAAAATATGACCGTATTTACTGTTTTTATCCCCAATTGTTATTAATAGACAATACATTTACCTTTAAAGGCTAATTCCTTTTTTCTAACATAATAAAGGATGAATCCGTAAGATAAGTGTTTGTATTTATCCAGTTAGGTTGAATTTACTTCTCGTATAACAGTTTTCTTACAAAGGAAAAGAATAGACACTGCAACGAATACACTTTTAACTTCCATAAATAATTAAAAATTTTAGTTTATCCTGTATGTCTCTATATATGTCTTTATAACACTGTACGTTTCTAACATCACTTTTCATTGGATAACCGGTGACGTTTATATAAATTGTATGAAGTTTTGCACTAAAAATTGAATTTTACCGTAATATGCCTTCGTTAATATAGATATACCCGACAGGTTATATGACTATATATAAACAGTTGTTTGTAATATAACCGCCGGGTTTTGATTCCAATCACCCGTTTATATAGAGCAATATAACCTGTAAGAAATCTTCTACTAACTGATAGTATAAACGGTTAAAGATGTTTGAAAAAATTTACTTCTGTTGTAAATAAAAAAAACTTGATAACAATGCGGAATAACGCCCGTTCTTATAAAGAAAGAAATCTATTACCTTTGATCATTTGTAATAAATTGCAATATTTTTGATATAACATAATTTAAGTTCTCCATATTTACTCCATATGACGTTGGTTGTTCTGTGTTCCTCTCTCCTGCAAGAAAAAGAAATGTTTGAAACCTGGAGCAATTATATAATAATAATGAGAATCTAAAGGCTCAGTAAGATTGAAAAAGCGCCATTAGTTTTAGTATCCAAAATCCCTTTATTTTTAGTGCCTTTTTACGGTTTCTAAAGTGTTTCTTATTGATCATCTAGCTAGGTAATACTTTGTACATTTTTGTGTTTTACAATTAGAACAGTTATAATGATTAGTATTTTGCATGGAAGTCAAATACAACTTTGTCCTAATATTGCCATCTTTTTCTCAAATAATTTCACTTTTAGCGCTTTTACGTACTTTATTTTACGTACTTTATAAGCATCGCACGTGTTCTGAGATGAAATGCGATTGTCCCTTTTACAGAAAGAAAAAAAAAAGGAATTTCCTGAGACTTACTGTGCATTTAAAGGCACATTAAGACCCGAAATGCTATCACATTTATTTCTCAGAAACTTATTTATTTATTTATTGTTATCTTGTTTCAGTTTCCAAAAAAGTTACTCTATGGCCATATTTTGCTTCTTTTGTCCTGTTTGGAATTAGCATAATTATAGTGATTAAGTATTTTGTATAGAAGTTAATATACCACTTTGTTGACATTTTGCTACCTTAACTTCGCATTACTGCAGTTATTGAATATCTAAGATAATGCTCTAGTCATTATTTAAGCCATATTAAACACAATGTTAGACCTTTCTAAAGAAATGAAAAATTAAGAATTCATATCCGAGGCATTTTGTGCCTTTAAATGTCTAGTCGAATGATATTTATAAATAAAAAAATTGTCACCTTTTTAAATATCATTACATATACATATATCATTATAAGTAATTAAGATTTATTTGATACATTATCATACATTCAATTAAGACAATTAAATTAAAAAATATATTCACCTTTTGACACTGTAATACTTATATTTAGGAGCATTATATTTAGGAGCAACACATATTTTAAAAAGTGTTTAGTGTCCATATCTCGCATCTTGAAAATTAAACTTGAAGTTCATCAGATTTGCACAATATATACATTTTGTTTGTTCTATTTTGGGCGTTAAAATTTTCTGCAACATATATATTTAGACAATAACGTAACACATCCAGCATAGACGGATGATCTGTACAGTAACAAAAGGCTTAAAATAGTACTTGTGGGTTTTTTTTGAATTGCAAAAAACACGGAAAATAAATCGTTTTTGTTGCGGTGTTTTTATCAAGATTTTATTTAATATTGAAATATATCTAACCGAGTGAATACTACAATTATACTTTTTTTCCATTAAGGGCAGTTCTTCTTTTCTCCCCTTTTTATATATACTGTATTTTTCACATAATTGTATATTTAGGTGAATCTTTTTTAACAAAAGTTTTATACATTTCTAATTTCAAAACTGAACAAGAAAAATGACATATACTTATTAATTATTCATTACTTATTAAACATTTTAAGTTTTCTTTACACCTGCGCATAAAATAAATATAAGATTTTGGATTCTATATTGTCCGTTATCTTTCGTCTGTTGTCTTGCGTTTTCTTCTGTAATTAACACGTTCTTTTACATCTATCGCCAACACACTCAACTGCTTAGGAATTAAGCCTTGGTTTTCCGCTTGTAACATACATGTATATATTGCCAATAATTGCGATATCTCGCATCTTTTTATAATAATAATAGAAAACGCCATCGGAAAATACGATTACTTTTAGTTTGACACATATCACACACACATGCATATAATTTATGGAAAACCAGTGTATAAAACTCATGTGCCCTTCTAAGAATAGTTAAAAAAAACTAAAAAAAATATTTTTAGGATATAAGAATAAATAAAGAATTATATGACACTTTTTTCGTTCGGCTTTGCTTTCATTATTCAAAATAAGTACTATTGTACATTATTCCGGAGCTTTTGTAAATCGTTTTTTGCATAATTATACTTATCGTATATAGACCTTTTTACAATACCATTCTTCCATAGCAACCAATGTTGCATTTCGCGCATGCGCATTCTGCGTAGGGCAAAAGCGCAATAAAATTGACAACAGTGTATGATACTTAGTCGTGATTCCATGCTATATCAACCAGAAAACAGTAATTTTGGGATGACTTAAAGCGGTAAGTACTTAAAACGTTTATTGATATTCAAAACAGATATAATAAATATGCGGGACTAATAATCCTATGGTCAAAAGACGCACACAAAAGTCGTCTGTTTAAGGTATTATTAGACGACTTTTTCATCTGTAATTTAAATTTAAACAGCAGCGTGTATAAGATAAAATTTTATTACCCCTGTATTACATAATATTACACAACGTGTATTGTACGCTTCCTTTGGATTGGCCAGGCGGTAAGTGTCAAACAGACTGACACGCGACCGTGGTTGTTTGTTTCCAGCTAGATATTGTTTAAATATCATTCAACCGGGACGTTTTAGAACCATGGCATAGTTAATCACGTACAATTATGAAAATCGTAATTTAAGTAACTTTTATATATAACATAACATAACATAAATTTATTGCATAAAACTCTTTTACAAAGTTTATAGCAAGCAATACATAATTGCGGCAGGTACATGAAAACGTGTTTTCAGAAAAGAAAAAACAAGTTTATTAAATTGACTTATGAATACATAGTATTTTGCACATTTTAACAAAGTTCAGTGTATTTTTTCTAACATGTCAGCTTTTGTTATCAAAATAAGAGCATACAGTATTATGGAGGTGTATGGACAAATTATGAAATTCTTATTCTATTGGCAAAATATATATACTTCGATAAATTACAAATATAATTTTTAGATGTGGCATTCATTAATTGATCAAATTTATGTATAGATGGCCAACGACAAAAATACTGCCGAAAATATTTGGTTCTCAATTCGCGATATTTAGGACATACTAAAATAAAGTGGAATTCAGTCTCAACTTTTCTCATATTACATGATTTACAAAGCCGTTTTTCTCACGCGATATTCTCGTAACGCCCGGTTTCTACAAGTAAACTGTGCGACGATGTTCTTAGTCTTGATAGTGCAACCCTATACTTGTTCTCTTTAATGTAATCTAAATAATGTTCTGTTTGAAAATTATGCTTAAATATACACTAAGATTGAAGGCGTGGCGAATTATTTATGTCTGAGTACCAGCGTTGATAATATGTATCTAATATGCGTTGTTTTATCAACTGGAACGGTATATTATTCACATCCGTTTGTTGATTCCAGACATAGCTTAATCCATGTTCATCTAAAATACTTTTCACTTGAGCAGCCCAATTAAGACCACGATACTCACGACCGCTATCAGCATCAGCTTTTAAAAACGTATATGTCTGCTTTATTAATGAAGAGTCCGCGTGCCTTAATATTTTAATCCAATATTTAATTATGCTTATTTTTCTGAATACGGCTAGTGGTACGCGCTCGAGTTCTCCATAAAGTGCGGAAAGGTTTATTGAGCGTTTCACACATAATACGCGACGTAAGAATTTAGTATGTAGCAGTTCTATGTCGGTCGCTTCATGTATTTCCCCATATTTCAGAGCCGAAATTTAGAATAGAACCAACCAAACTGTCAAATAAGCTTACTTTTTTGTTTAATTGTAACTCGATATTATTAAAAAA